TCTTAAATGTATGTCCACCAGGGTTCATTCACAGGCTTACCATGGGTTCCTCAACAAATTATACAGCTATGAACTTCGGTTGGGATTTACCAGAATGAAATAAAAACCAACAGAAATTTATAAAAATTGTAAGACAAGAATAAACAAATAGTATATTTAATTTGATATTGTTTTGTCATAACCAGAAAACTTCGTTTCATTTTTTGATAAGAAAAAAAAATGAATTAGAATAAAAGGAAAATGAAATATCGAAGAAAAGGAAAGTTAAAGACCAATTTCATATTGATATAATATTCAATGAGATAAGTGTATTAATTTTCTTCGATTTCAATCCCCTGCATCAATCCATGTTCACATCTTTAGTATTAAAAAGTTGTCCTGAACTTCCTGAAGCAAAAATTTAACGTAAACAATCCTAATGATGATGCGGTCCAATTTTCAAAGTTTTGCTTCTGAAAATTTGTTGTTTTTAAGGGTTTAAATGCCTGCGTGTTGTGGATTCTAAACTACCGAATTAGTAATGTGGCCAAAATTTTGAGGAGTGAATCATAAGAGCCTCAAAGGCTGCATACAGCCAACAACAATCATTTGTGTTGTTTAAAAGATATTTGTACCATAGGTATTGAAAGGCTACATAAAGCCACCAACATATGCTGTCATAAATCTGCGGCGGGTCGGGTCGAAAAACTATGTTTGCCCATTTTAGGATCATGAATAATTGTAACAACGTACTCAATTTGTTGAAAAATGAGAGATAATTTTTCCCTTTTTGATGAATTTCTTCTAGTTTGCGTTTGTAACTTGAAAACTATGAAGCTTAATAATTAATGTCATCGGTCCCTACTTGGGCCCTTAGAGGAATCCGATGGTGCAAATTAAATTCGCAGAATGAGTTTGTTACAATTTTACATTGCCTAGGTCTTTCATCAAAGGTTTCACTCTACTAATTCTCGTTATTATACGTAGGGTAATTTGACATTCCCTTAAGTATAATACTGAATTTTCAGTTAATAAAACCGCCTGAAAATGAAATTATTATAGGCTCGTAAAACTGTAATATTTTAAACTCCTGGCCTTTTGCAATTTTTTGCAAATATTTGGAAGTCGAAAAACTTTTTTTGTCTGAGCCATTAGTTTCCGATCCCTCTATCTTTATTTGATTTTGTGGATTGTCCAAAATTGTTAGCGTACTTGACTGTTTTCGTTCTCGGTTAAGAATTAAATCCGTGTTCATGTCTTTTGGCATATCCTTTCGGGTGTCGTACAGAACCGCTATTCATTGTAGTATATTTGTAGGATAATACTCGTAATCTTATATTTTAGTAAGATTAAATTAGATTTACTGCTCAGTATACAAAACTTTAGGTAAATTTCACAAACTTAAAGCGTTATAAAAGCTTTAATGAAAACTTCACATTTATAATTAGCTTAAAGCAGGAACAAATGAGTTTATATTATTTCTATGTTTTCAAAAGTTTCGCCTATTACCCCTTTGTTTAACTCTACTTTTGATTCTCTGGAATTTTTTTAGTTCGATAGGTATTGACTTAATTTCATTCCTACAATAAGTGCTTTTTGCATTAATGCCTTTTTGTTTTAAGGAATTATCAATTCTAAACGATGTTCCTATTTTGAAAACTATACCTGCTGGATAAACTGAAATTACGCGGGATGATTTTGGTGCAATAGTTATATTTTTATCAAGAAGTACATTTTGATAAAAGCTTTGATATGGATAACTTTTGCTTCTTATGATACTGATAGGAACTGTTATATCTGGGTATTTTTTAAATTCTTAGTTCAAAATTGGAACGTTTATTGATTTATTGTTGTGAGAAATGAAATCCATTCCTAATATAATTAGATCGCATCCATCCTTGGCTGAAATTCATGCTTTAATTTTCACCGGATTATCAGTGTTTGTACCAAAAGTTGAGTCAAAATTAGTCTTACCTATAAGTTTATGTTTTTCTCCATTAACAGCAACTGTTTTTGATCTAGATTTATTCAGCTGTAGAGGCTGTGTTTTACAATATTGTTCATAGCTGTCAAAATTAATAAGCGAACATGTTGCTCCAGTGTCGAGTAGAAATTGGGTTTCCAGACCGTTATTTTTATTTTTGTCTCCGACGGGATGTTGGTATAAATTAATATATAATTGTATTTTGGTTCAGACGGAGACTGATCTAGTTTAAATTAACAAGTTCACACTCATTATTGGTATATTCTCCTGGAATGTCATCATCTCTAAAGTTGTGGATCTGGTGAGGTGAATGATAATTATTATTTTCGTTGAAGGGTTTTTTACTGTTCGACCTGTCACGCGATTGAGAACTTTCCTTGAAGTTTGAAAAATTCTTGAGTTCTTGTTGAGGATTTATGTCATTGAAATTGTTGTCTACTCTTGACCTACTCTTGCTATAGTTATGGTTCTCTGTTTGAATTCTCTCTTAATTGAAGCGAGTCATAATTTTGCCCCTGTTGATCGTTATATTTAAAGCAATGTCTTATCGTATGGCCTGACATGCAACACCAGTTGCAAAACATTGGGTTGTTTTGTTTGTTTTTAATGCTCATGTGGATTATCAGCGGCATTTATTTTATGATCCTTCATTAGTCCTGTTAACTCTTTTAGTTGATCCTTTATTCCCTCTATTTCCAATTTATTATCTATGCTACTGGATGCTGTTCCGAAAAACTCACTACTTATTGCAGAACTTAAGTCTTTTGTAGCAATATGATTTTTTAATTGTTGCCATGTTGCGGGTGGATTCTCAATTAGGAATTGATGCGCCTTTTGTTTTAAGCCTGGCGGGCTTAAGCCGCGTACAAAGAATTCCATTTTCTTCGTTGTTCTTTGATCATCATTAAAAGTTGGATTAGGCCATCCACGTTCTACTGCGGTGCTTAATCAATGTATGTAGCTTTTAAAAAATTCATCAGGTGGTCTTTTTCTGTTTTCTGCTTCTATTCGTCTTCTATACTTATCTTTATCATCAGTTAATCTATCTATAAATTGATCTCTTATCTCGTTCCAAGGTAAATTTGCTGCTAATCCCTGATACCATTGAGCGGCTGGACCTCTTAATATTGAACCAATTAAGGCTCTTTGTCTGTTATCATATGCGTGCTGATCGTCACCTGCGTCTGCTGGTCTAGTGCCTAGGGAAAATGCTATCTTTTTCTTTACTATAACAAGAAAATTTCTTGCATCTTTATTTGGATCTAATCCGGTAAATTTTTCGAGAGCTAAATCTGGATATGCTACTACGTTTGCCATTTTTGTTTAATTCACTCAAATTTTTCTTAACAATATATAAAAGGTTCGGATGTGTTGTGTACTGATCAATTGTAAGGACTGAAATAATTGTATTTAAATTACAGTGAGATTTGCCGGGTTCAATTAAAACAAATTTTTATTAGATAGATCAATGGTGCTATGGGGCTGCTTAGGCTTTTTTAAGATAGAAGTTATCTCTGGGTTATTGCTGCGGGAGAGAATAGTTAGTTCGTGAATATTTTTGTGTGGGTGTTTGGACAAAATTGTGATTTGATCCTTTTGGATATTGGTGATATACCAAATAATTTTTGTGGACTTATTTTTCAATTTTAGTTTTGATTTAAATGCTGTTGTATTTACCTGATAAAAGTTGGTCATAGCTTTCTACATCATTTTTGATTTATAAATATTTATCTAGGTGATGACAAACAATATAAGGAATATTTAAATTTTTGTAATGAACTTGTTATTATTTAAATTTTGTTGAGGAAAAATTTGTGTTTCTAATAAAAAACGATTAAAATTCAATTATTTTTGTGCTTGGGTATATGATGACATCAAAAAGCAATCGGGAGTGAAGCAATTAATTGTTCTTGCGGTGTATAAATTATATTATTTGGTATTTTTCTTTGCTGAAGAATTGTGTCAATTTCTGGAGTATATCGTCGAAAAAAGACGTACAATTCGTGTTTAATGTCGTTAAAGTGTTTTGCTAGTATACTAATATGATTTTTTCCAGTGTTAGTGATATACCATATGATGTTAGAGACTTTATTTCCTAATTTGACTTTCAAATTTATTGTACTGACTTCAATTTTAAAGTGTGTTGACATAAATTTTTACGGTGTTTGGTTTCCTTTTCTTAACCTAAGTTGTTCTATTTGGTTTGTATGTTTTATATTTACGAAAACCTCCTAGGATTTGTTGATTATTAACAAAGGTTTTTAATAATAAATTACGAAAATAAAAACAAAAATTGGAAAAAAGAATTTCTAAAATTTTTCAAGTTTTTTGAGTTTTTGTTCGCTGAAACTTTAGCTGAAACCTGAAACTCTGTTCAAGTAAAATTTTATTGATGCTTTTGTTATGATTAACAACATAATCTTATGCCTTTTCAGGTTATTACTGACTCATAACTTTTATTTTTTTTGTCAATTTTTTTTAAATTAAAAAAAAAAATTTTCTGAAACTTTAATCTGAAACCTGAAACTATGGTAGGTGAAGTTAAGTTTTTTTTAAATTTTAAAGTTGTCTAAAAGTAATGGTATACTTCGTTTTTGCTTAAACATGTAAAAAATTTTAAGAAAAAGGAATCTTTTGATATCTTAAACCTAGTTTTTGAAATCTCAAACCTAAAACCCTTAAACTCTCTGAAACTCAGTGCATGAAAGTAAAAAATTAGTTTTTGATAGCTGGTCTATTGTAAATTAGAATTATGAACAAATTTGTTTGCGGAAACCCAAGTTTTTGAGGCTGAAACTATGATTTCTAGATCTGAAATGTTCTGCTTGGTTTTAGAAAGTTTGACCACTTGGTTTGACCACTTGGTCTAAGTAAAATTGAGGATAAACCTCGATAAATGGTGAAGGTTTAGAATAAATAGCAATAAGCGTGAATGGTTGGATTTATTCTGACAAAAAAATCAATTTATCATACAATTTAGGGTACTCTCTGATCGCACATATGACCACTTAACCCCCTCGAAAAAAGGAATGAAGATATTTAATAAGTTTTTTTGAGCACTTTAGCTTAATACAGGACTTCGTTAATTTTAGTGATGATAACTTTAAACTGAAGTTTCGGCATATATTCAGTGAGTTACTGGACAAAACGGGTATATCTTACTATCGGACTTAGGCAGAAAACGATTCTTTCAGAAATTTTGTATATTATTATAATAATAGATTATAGTTAGATTCATGAGCTAATGTCAGTTAGAAATCCGTATAATAGACCTCGAGGTGGAGGAATATCGTGGGTGACTGTTAGCGCAGGGGATACTTATCGCAAGAACCCTACTAGGAATGTCTGTCAATTAGAAGACAATGAAATTGTTGTTCTATCGAAAGACACCCATTGTCTCGTGGCTTTTTGAGGTTGGAAACTAATCTGACAAATACTCACAGATTCTAATATTAATATTTTTTTTTGAATTTCAAAAGCTGTTTCGAGTTTGTTGGAAAAGGAATTTCTTAAGGAGTAGTTCTCTGCTGCGATCGCACCAGTTTTACTAAGCGTTCATTGCTCGTTGATTGTTTACCACTTTTATCCTAAATTATAAGTCTCACCTTAGATCGTCAAGTTGTCTTGAAAAAAGTTAGAGTAGAAACAAAAGTTAGAAAAATGTATGAATTAAATAGTTGGTTAAATACAAAGCACAGTGTTATTAGATTATATAAACGAATCGAACAGCTTAAGGAAATATACCTATGAGGGGAGGTTGCGTTTATCTTATTTTGTTCATCGATATTTTATCTTCTTACTAAGGTCGATGATTGTTTAGTATTCTTGGGTCGCCCTTGACTGTGTCCACTTCGGCACTTCTGGTTGGTCTTCTGTATCGTCCTTTCCGTAGTCCTTTTGATCCTTGAGGTCTAGATTTCCTCAGGTGTGGGTATCTCGAGTATCTCGATTTATAAGTTTTATCGAATTTTAAACGAGAATTTTTTCTCTATTTAATTGGGAAAAAAGCTAGTTTAATGTTATTGTTAAGGCAGAAAACAAAAATTATTTATTTTTAAGAGATCTGACTTGCTGCTTACTGAGCAAAATGAAACACTGAAGATTTCAGGCGAGTCCTTTTGCTGGTAAGCATAAACCGGCGGCTGATTCAATCTTTAATTATTCAGGTTTCACCTGCTCCTTTCTTCTCCCTTTCTTATAAGGGAATTTTCAACTCAATTTTATTTGATTTTTTCAAATCAATTTTCTTTAAATTATTAGTCTTCTTTGATTAAAATCGCAGCCTTCAGTTTTGTCTGATTAAAAATTCTTATTACTCTCTCTGATGCATCATATTGCAGGTGCATCTCTGCTTAATGAAAGCAAGGAGAATTTCAGTGCAGCCGGCGAGACTGCTAAATACTTATCTATTTTGTTTCAAGTTAAAGTTAAAAGGGACGTGTTAATAATCGCCACCCTTTTAAAATCGTGAGCATGAAAAAATGAGAAAAATTGGACAAGTATAAGCCCATAAAAGTTCGCAAGCCCAGTTCTAGTGTTATTATCGAAAACAGTTCCCCAATCTGAATATTTTAAAGATTCAATAACCTTCCAATTTTTTTCAATTCCAAAAAGTTTAAATATCATAATTCATTTCAAATCATAAAAATTCCAAATCGTGTCATTATCAAAAAATCATTCCATGCCAAATTTTAAATTTGTTTACGTCAAAAGTTACAAAAGTGCGTTCAAAACCCCAATGGATGGAACTCTTAATGTAAAAAAATTGAGGGACTTGGAGAGGTGCTTTTTTCAATACTAACCTGCATATTTCAACGAGTAGAGCTTTGGTTTCAACGCGATGAATTCTTCAATGGTTTTTCCCGCCGCCTTGTCCTTAACGTTCAATAAAACCTTTTTATTCACATTGCTGAATAAGAAGTGATCGCTTGGGTACTTGGAAAAATCGAAACTATTGTTCAATTTTTGCAGACCTGCGTATACGTTTTCGGTTTTTATCGCATAAATAAACGAATCTGTGTCCTTGTATAGCAGTTCAAGGTTCATGTTTGCTTTCATTTGCCGATAATGAAAGTAAAACATGAATCTTTTCGACAAATCCAAAATACTTGCACCTATTATCATGGGTTTGTCCCACAAAATACTCGTTACAGCGAAACAAACAGAAGTAACTTCCTCGTCGATTATCTGGAAGCTTTTCATCGTGCTCAAAGCTGTTTTTTGAAGCAATTCTCTTTCGTTTCTAATAATTTCTAAATTTTTGCGTCCTAGTTTTGATTCCATAGTTTTTCCGAATGCTGAAAAAATACGATGAGTTTGTAAAAGTTCTCTTCAAATTTGTTGCGCGCTGACATTCTCAATCGATTGTTTAAATCCACAAAGGGCTCCATCCATCTACCATGACAAAATTTTAAGACCCTAATCAATTTGGTAACTTTTAAGCCTAGTTCTATGCAGAGTTTTAATGTAAGGTAGTTTAGAACGTACCCTTCCTTTGGATCTAATGTTTGAACCAGTTTTGGTGCCTTTGGTAGCGTTGTGACCCCCATCTCCCCTAACATCTGTGTTTGCTCGTTACTTAGTTTATTCATTTATTCATGCCGATAACTTCACGTGAGGGGGCTAGCGGGTAGTCTGCAAAGTGATCTTGAAGTTCTTCAGGTATACTGAGATCCACTTCCAAAATGTATCCCCACTCAAAGTTATCGTCGGTTTGCAAAATATATTCGAGACTTTCCTCAACTATTGAAAAATCTTTGATGGGAAGGGGACTAGCCCGAGAGGTAACTAGCCGTGAAGTAGCATGCACAATCTAATCCGTACGTTTCGTAACAAACTTCACGAAAGGCTTCGAATACTGAAGCGAGTAGTAGTACGTCCGTTGCTAGGTAGTCATCATGGTACTTGCCTAGTGATGCGCTTTTCCTTTCGGCGAAAACTTTAATGGCATGTTTGTGCTGATTTTTCGAAACACTTATTTCCCCTCCCTGTTAAGTATTGCTCCACATTTTTCTAGGTGGCAGTCGAGTTTCTTGAAATTTTTCAAAAACTACCAAAGTATGAATACGGGTAGAAACTTTTTTGTTTTAGCAAAGATATATGTTCTGCTGAGTAACCAAGTTCTTCAAAGTAATTTTCCAGTAGGAAAAATTTTTCTTCCGGCAAGTATTCGACGAGTTTTGAAAGTGGGGACAGCATGATTTTATAGGAGTCTATGGAACGTAGATTTTCATACAATTTTTTTAGTTTACCGTTTTTATCGGTGTATGATTTGATATAGACCGACATAGTGAGTGATATTTACTTCTCCTCAGTGGAAGGGATCACTGAGTAAGTGTTTTCGGGGTTACTGTTTGAGAGCGCTTTTAAAATGAATAGCAGATCATAGTTTGACAAGTTATGCGCTATTACGGGTAGATAATTCGCCGTTTATCGATTGATGTTGCATTCGTTATGCGCCCACCCCTAGAACTTGTTGGTATAAAGACAGTCATCAAGTACAACTTGATAATTGTCAGCAAATTTTGTTTCAAATATCCAACAAGTGTGCGCTTCTTCACGCGTGCAACTTGGTGTGCCAGTGAACGTGTAATACTTTCGTTTTTCGAGGTATATTTGTTCTGCCAACGATTCGAGCGAGGCGATCAATTCCTTCATAATATTTTCTCCTCTCTTCAGTTCAAACTTTAAAATTTCGCGTTTCCAAAATTCAACAACGGCCAGAACGTAACCGCATGGTTGATAAATTTTTAGTGTTTGGCTGCTAGATTTTTTGGGGTCGGGTTGCGGTCCGTATACGGGTAGTAGTAGCAATTCGAGGTCAAAGTAAATAACTCTCGGTACATACCAGTGGGCAGTTAAATTCTTGAAACGATGAGTGTCCTTTCCCGGTTTTGGCATTGTGATTAGCTCGTATTGGTAGCACAATTCGTGCTGTCTTTGTAGTGTATCGATGGATGAACATGTATGGAAGCAATTGCGGCAAAATTGTTTTCGCTTTCGGTGTAATTTTCCATGCACATATTCCACCACCCTAATCAATTCAGTGATCAGCACATAATGATGAGTTAGTCCGTTGCTGAGTAGTAGTAGGTCAACACATAGATCACTTGAGTATTTGCTGGACACTCTCAAAGGTAGCAATTCAACTTCTCTGTACCTAATGAAAACAAACGATTGAGTGCTCGGTTTCTGGATGAACGTAATGTGTTATAGCTGATTAAACAAATGTTTTGTCAAAAAATCAATTCTCACAGGAATACATTGACTTGACAGTTGATAAGTTGTTCAAATTGGTCAATTTCGTGTAGTCCCATTGGCTTCTCGTACCAGCGTTCAATTTTCACAACATGTTCTTGGGACAGCTTGTAATTTTTCAGTTTGTTTCGATGTTACTAGCTTTGGGCAGCAGGATAAAGAGCAGTTGTGGTCTCTGAATATCGATCATGGTACGCGGCCACAAAGCAGTATAGAAAGCACTTCTGATCGTTTCTCGTTTTAATATTGGTGAAACTCTGTTTCACCGGTTTCAATGAATTGGGAAGATCAATGTATGAGCCAGCACGGATTGGAAAAGTGCTGCAAAACTTACAGCCAGCTTTTCAATGCGCTCCACAATCCAACCGCTACCGTGAGAAGCGAACGTGTTGATGGCATTGACCATATGCTCAATCATTTCCAAATATGTCTCTTTCTTGATTCCAATGAAGAAGACATTGATCATCTTAGAATTCAGATATAACATTGTCTTCTCGTGGCGTAATTACCCATCACCAGTTTCGTTTGTTTGTATCGTTCGAGATATTTCTCATACTCACTTCCACATGCAACTGAAATTTACAGGTTCTTTACTGCACTCTTTCGTCTGTGAACGCATCAATCTCCTCTTTAATTCGCATGATTACATTCATCAGATCCAATTCATCCTCCCCAACGCTCAACTCGTATCGTCTTAACTTCCCCTAAACGCAGATTCAGTTGGAGCAGTTGATGTTCCCACCTCATTTCCGGTAGTCCAAATGGGTACTTGATGATTTTTCGACATATGTTG